TGCAGCTCAGGGCAGCATGGAGGTGACAGGATGGAGATGTCCCCTCCTGCCTGCTGGACCAGGAAGGTTGGCTGTGGAAGGGACCACAGGCAGTGCAGGGAGAGGGTCCTGGTGTGCAGGGGGGGGCTGCGATCCCCAGTTCTTCACATTGAGCCCACAGGGTCACAGGGAACATCAGACACTGTTGCTGAGAGTGAACTGAGGGGCTCAGGATGTCACAGGAGAGGCCTGAGCACATCTCTGTCACTCTGTCAGGACAGGCAGCTGTCTTCCCGCTACAAACAAGAGTCATGAACAATCACTGTGAAGACAACATCCCAACAACCCACCACTCACTCAAAGGGGGTTCTGGGAGTCCCTGAACCCCAATCATGTCCACTTCCCCTCCCCAAATCAGTCCCCAGAGTGTCACCTTCACATCCTGGGAGAGACACATCAGAGCTCTGGGCACTGTCCCTGCCTAGGGTGAAATTATATATAGTCACACGAAGGTGAAAACATGGCTCTAGAAGATTTCACTGGAGGAGGTATTATGGGTTGGCAGAGCTCCCCAAATATTCCAGCTTCACCCCAAGGGCCTCAGGGACAATCCTGCTCCCCACACTTACCTGAAGCTGGAGTATAGTTCCCTCCTTTTCCACCTGTGAGAAGAAAAGCTGTGAGAGACCAGGGAAGACCCTGACCCTAGGAAGCTTCCAGAACTGACAGCAGACCCAGGTCAGAGACAGGAACAATGAGGGGTGTGAATGTTTCCCATTAGTGAGGCAGAGCACACTTCTAAAAGGGGCTGAGAGAGAACCAGACCCTGCCCTTTCCTACCTGTGTTTCTCCTCATCTTCACAACAGCCACCACAGCTCCAATGATGGCCACAGCTCCAATGATGGCCAAAGCTCCAATGAGAACCTGAACAGTAATGTTTGCCATGATGGGGACAGTGGACTGAGGAGGCTCTGGAAGGGAAGGACAGGAGGGGAAGGTGAGGGTCATGACCCCAGGTCTCAGCCTTGACCCTGATCAGGGTCTATAGAAGGTTCCAGCTTCCCCTGACCCCAGCTCTGCACCCACACCCTCCTTACCCCATGTCAGGGTGAGGGGCTCAGGAAGACCCTCATGGTGCACATGACATGTGTAATTCTTCTCCTCCCCAGCAGGAACCACCACAGCTGCCCACTTCTGGAAGGTTCCATCCCCAGAAGGTCTGGTCTCCACCAGCTCCATGTCCTGAGTCTGTTCCTCCCCATCCCTCTGCCAGGTTATGGAGATCTCAGCAGGGTAGAAGCCCAGAGCCCAGCACCTCAGGGTGCCTTCTCCTTTCAGTGTGGGGTGATGGGTCACATGTGTCTTTGGGGGATCTGTGAGGACGAATTAATAAATCCCTCAATTAACAAGATAAACTGAAATCTGCAAATACAATGTTAAACCAATGATGACACTGAACTGTGTCTGTTTGGACAATTCTGTCATCACACTAGTGATCTCAGGGAGAGCTGGTCCCCTCATCACAGAACTGCACATTTACAGTTATGCTCACCAGCATAACTGTCTGTCCAAGTGAACAGCCATCACCAAATGCAGCAGAAATGTGGTGAACCTCTGACACTCAGCCAGAGAAAATGAGTCCCCAAGCCCTGCCTCTGGGGGGACAAGATACAAGGTATTGTCACCAGGACCCCTGGAAGTGTGCTGTGGAGCCCAGGGCAGCACTCCCTGGGACACAGCAGTGCTCACAGAGGTGTGTGGATCGTCCCTGTCACTCCTGTCCTGGAGCTGCAGAAGACCCTGTCTCTGAGGAAGTTCAATTCCTAATCCACTGAGCAACACTGTGACTTGTTGGGACTGAGGGAGAACAGGAGGGCTCTGGATGTTAATATG